ACGTTTGCTCCATCTTTCTAGCGAGTTCCAAATCTTCAAAATTTCACCTAATCCAAGACAAATCGTAGTAAGGCGCTGTGAGTGCTTTCGGAGCATAGTTTTTAAAAAAAATCAAGTCCTCCTCTCCTAGATATGCCTTTTTTTGAAAAGGGTGTAAGTCTCAACCAACTGAACGGTAGTTTTGTAAGGGTATCATATACATCAACTTTATGTACAAATAAAGGATGATTTGTAAAGAGTAAAGTTTGTTAGAAACCAAGTTCAAGATTACCCCATGATAAAAGCTTGTGATCTAGCGGATAGCTACACAATAAAAATTGCCTAGCACATCAAGATCATTCGAAGAACTAGCGCATTTTTGTAGTTAGCTTAAATTTTGCTCCTTTGAAAAACCTTTGAAAATTTGGTAGGGTCATCGCCCTGAGATGCAGCAGCACCAGGCATTTTTTCCACTTTGTTTGGTTTTTGATGAGTTTTTTCTGGAACCTTACCTAGGACTGTGCATTTTAAGTTAGCTCTCAAATTTTGCCTTTAACATCTGAAACATAGTATATCGAAAAAGCAAAGCAGCAATTACCGGTCAAATTTTCTACTATTTTTTTTACAACGGCTATTGTGTTTACGCTCATGCCTGATGATGCCATACTTTGCGTACAGCGAATACTGTGTTTGAAAGTGGGGCAACATGATCTCAAAGCAAAAAAATTGGCCTTGTATCAGTTCCTGATGGAACAGTACAACTATAAAAGTGGAAAATGATGCTTTGTAGAGCAGCGCTCGGAGAATGAATGTAAAAAAGTGAGCGTTTAATATATTAGGTTGTCCCGAAATTTTTGTCCGTTTTTTCAACCTGCCATAAAAATAGGTGGAACAAAGGTAGGGAAACGCTCTAAGCACTACCCGACGCATCTATTCCTTCTCTTTCTAATAGTCATGCCTCCATGCCGATTAATCTTTTGTTCACTGAGATAAACGCCGAAATTTCGAACCCATGGTTTTACTATGTCCAAGTTTGGCAATTTTTCACAATCTTTATTTTTGACTTTCGAAGAAGCTTTGGCAACAATCAGATAGAGCAAACAAAGAACAATATAATGCAATTTTTGCGGCATCTATAGCCAGCCTTGAAAATTTTTTAGAATTATTTTCCTAATGCTATCAAATTCTACTTTTGGTGATGCCAAAAACCAGAGATCATGAAACGGCGCACAACTAAGGTGTTATTCGATGCAGCTTTTCCTCCTCTTTCCAGTGAGTCTATTTTCTCTCTAATTTGCGGGGTCCTTGGCGATAAAATTTTCATAATTCTCGAATTTGACCCCACCCCAGCGTGTACACGTAAAATGCAAAACCTGATATTTCGAAGGGGTAAACTCTCATTTGCTTCGTAAAAATAGTGAATGATCGTAATCGGTTTTTGAAAGCTTCAAAATTCGATGATTTGTTAGTGTTCGAGGCGTTTCTGTGATTTAGAACTTCGCAAAAGTGAAGGCTTTTCAAAAAAATTATCTTTAAAAATATTGAAAAGCCAGCTAGATACGCCAAATAATTGCATTGCATTGCCCTTTGCTTACTCTATCTGAAGGCTATCAAAGGTCTTCCAAAAGGTGAAAATGAAGATTGTGAAAAATTGTCAACCTGGACATAGTAAAAACCATGGGTTCGAAAATTCGGCGTTTATCTCAGTGAGCGAAAGAGTAATCTGCACAAGATTATAACGATAAGAAAGAGGAGGAAAAGATGCGTCGGGTAGTTCCTAGACCGTTTCCCTATCTTTGTTCCACGTGTTTTTATGATAGGTTGAAAAAACGGAAACTTTCGGGAAAACCTAATAGTTTGTAAATGCTAGGACATGAGCGAATGCAAAGATCTCATCCGACACGATATTATTGAAATAAAAATTTTCAACCTTCTATATGATGTCGAAACAAACGGCTTATACGAAAAGACAGAGGGAGGAAAGATAATTCAGCCCATAATTTATATTACTTTCGCATATTTTTGTCCTCACTGCAATCTAACAATTTCTTTTGGTGATGTGCTATAAATCAATTGAGTTTGAACAAAAAAAAGTTGATGGAACAAGGAATCCTTCGCAGTGCAAAGCCGAAGAGACTTACATTCTAGAGCCTTGCAAGACTATTTTTGGCTCCTCCGTTGGCGGTGGGGCTTCTTCTTGCGCGCGCTGCACACCTGGAACATTTCATTCCACGATTATAGTTTTAAGCAGGATCCTGGAGTTTGCCAACAAATCTACGCTAAAATTTCTAGGTCTAGCGATCTTAAGCCGTTATAGGTTGTAACGTAGCGGTCAGAGTTGCCCATGTGCGTTGTGCCAGCGCCGCTCCTCTGCCGTGCCGAAACACGTTCACGCGCCCCATTGATCGATGTGCACGGTGCCAGCACGTCGCTGGAGCGGCGGTGGCAAGGGCAACTCTGGACACCGCCTAAACAACCACTTCTATTTTCAAATTATTCCTTACCTACAGGAGTAAAAGCACAGAGATAATTGGCAGTAGCTGCACAAGGTCTTGACGTCCACCTGGCCCTGCCACCGGATACCACGTAGGCTACACATGAATCGCGCACCGATATCGCAGCTTCACTCGGCCTGAAACGATTTTGCTAAAAATTTTGGTATTCAAAAGAAGTCTACAATTTTCCGAAAGTACTGCAACGTTGCGTTTATCGACTTTCGCTTCCACTGCTGGCAAAAATCGCCACATTCATGCGCATTACGTTGAACAATAACGATGCTGCATTGTATTCGAGTGGACAAACATGGAGTAAACATGATGTTGGTATTTGAACAGCGAAAGCAATGGTCAGGAATGGGGAAGACTGAAAAATCAGGGACACTCTTACTTCACTCTGCAATCCTATTTCCTACTAAAAACTACACGTTTGGAAAAAATGTGTTTACATACACTGTTGACTACTGTAATGTGAAATTCCATAGAAAACTGCGCTCAAATAATAACAGTTCAACTGAATCGTCTAAGCTGAAGCTTCATGATGCTCACGCAGCTCAAGCTGGTCGGGGAAATGTTGACAAAAGCCTTAAAAATTTCTAGGTCTTATATGTAAGTTATAGCTCTGAAATTTCTATCCTAATTTACTGCAAAGTTGAAAGCAGGGCTTGGCACGAGGTGGCTAGTTGAAAATGCAAAAAAACGAAGTCCCCCTTGATTTTTGCGGATTTTAATGAAGTTTCCTCTGACCCCCCACCATAATCCCTAAAAATCTCCAAAAAACGAAACATCGCAATTTTCGTGTCTTTTCAGTCTCAAAAACAGAGCTCGGCACGAGCTGGCACCAGGGGATTTTAAAACGAAGTCCTCCTTGATCTTCACTAAGTTTTAGGAAGTTCCCCTTGACCCTAAACCCTAAACGTAAAAAATTCCCAAAAAACGATACGTCGACTAAAAAAACGTCGCCAATTTTGCGTGTGTCTTCGGCCACAAAAACGAAACCCGCTTTGCTTTTTGTTCAAAAAACGATACCCAGCTTGCTTAGAAGCCACTTGTGCCGAGCCCTGGTTAAAAGGATCTTCAAACTGTTTTTGTGACGATCCAAAGTCCAAAAAACCAGGATATCATAACACGTGGATGATTCTGCCTAGATAAGCCCGAAAGAGCTTGGATTTTTAGCTTTAAATTTACTTGGTTACTATCCTACGAAACTTAGGTCTATGGTGTATCAGTTATCCTTAAGAATGTTCTAATGCTTTTCAAAAAGTTGACGATGCATGGATTTTTTGTGCAAAAGGAGCTGAAGAAAGGTTCGCTTCAGCAATTCTGTACTACTAAGGGGGAGATGAAAACCACAAATAATCGTATAGGAGAGAAGATTTGAATAACAAGTTATATGATGAAACAGCTCTTAGAAAGCGTTCAAGTGATTTACCTTCTCTTTACAATTTTGCGGACCTTTACGTACTAAAATATCCAAACTCAAAAAGAAATCCTTAATTATGTACAAACAAGATGCTAGGGTTTTGAGAGGGTAACTAATTCAAAAACATTTATGTTGGAGAAAAGTGAAACTCAAATAGGTGACATGTTTGTAATTAGACCAGAAAAAATTGTTTTCTTATGATATCCATGGAATAAACTCGAGATTTTTCGCGAGTCACCAAATCGTAAAAACTGCGACTTATTGCAACAATAGAGCACTTAATTCCCCTGTTATACTTCTAGATAAGCAAAAATTTCTGTATCATTGCGAGTTAAGATTATCAACTTTTATATCATTGTAGAAAGTTGGCTAAAATACCTAATTTCGTTTTGACGTGCACATACGGACTTTACGAAAATTTGAAAAGCTATCATTCAGCCAAGAGTTCATATAGAGAGGCAGCAAATCTTGCTCGCACATATTGAATGTTCAAAATTTTGCACTTTCAGTAAATGATTATAGTGTCCTTATACGGCTAGACTCCTAAAAAATCCTGCACTTTTTAAGCTTCGTTTTCAATTTTTAGTGAGTTCATAGATGGGTAACTCGGTGATTGAATACTAGCTTTGGCAATTTGGCGAGATAAAATGAAGGTTACAACAAAGGTGAATTTTCAGGCACTCCAGATTGCTCCAATTTCAAGATTTCTAAATAACATAACATTTGTACAAAGAATCAGAAATGACCGCAATCATAATCCGCCAACCCTAATATTTCTACATCGTTTGCCAAAATTTGTCCTTACATTGCATCTTTCATGATCTCTACACAAATAAGTGCGTCATGATATTCTTTTATTATGGTTTCCTGTAGTAAATAAGAGACATACACATCGGCGAGCTATTACATTATCATGTCATCTGCGATCTAAAGCAAGTGAAACCCAAATCATTACAAGCGCAAATATCGAAACTCTATAACGGGCGCAACATGGGGTTAGAACACGGAGAAAACTTGCTGACACACCAGCTCTGACCCTGGATCATTGATCCAGAAAGCCGTATATAAGCTCAATTGAGCGCATTCTAATCACCAGTCATCTCATGTCTTTGGCAAAGAACTTGGCAGCATTCGCTTCGGTGGCTTCTGGCATTAGCATTGTGCTAGCCATTGGAGTCGTTGGCTACATGCTTAACGACATCAACAATTTCTACGATGATGCGCTGGTGGAGCTGAATGAATTCAAGGTAAGTACTCAAAAATTCATTTGTTTGACATTCTTTTGAAAATTCCCCCTTTCAGCTAACTGCCAACGGTGCCTGGGACCATATGACCGAAACAATCCGTGGCGAAGTTGTGCGCGATGTGCGAAGTGTTTTCCATCGCAAGAAGAAGCAGTCATACGGCGGCGGTGATGGTGTTGACGGCGGTGGTGGCTCCGGCGGTGACAGCTGCAGCGCTTGCTCGACAGAACCCAACAATTGCCCTGTGGGACCACCAGGACCACCAGGACAGCCAGGAGCACCGGGAGAGGATGGCGCACCAGGAGAGGCTGGTAGACCAGGAAATGCCGGAATCAGCACTGGCAATGGTGGAAATGGAGGCTGTATGTCATGCCCCGAAGGACCCGCTGGACCTCCAGGACCTGACGGAAGCGCTGGTCCACCTGGACCTGATGGACAACCAGGACTACCTGGTCCCCCAGGAGCGGACGGATATCCCGGACAAGGCGGTGAACAAGGAGATGCAGGAGGACCAGGCGCACCTGGAATGCCCGGAATAGCTGGACCACCAGGAGCTCCAGGGCAAAGCGGACGCGGCAATCCAGGACCATCTGGACCTCCAGGACCACCTGGAGCACCCGGAAATCCAGGATTCGAAGGAGAACCCGGACAAGAGGGACAACCAGGATCGGAAGGAGTTGCTGGACCACCTGGAAATCCTGGATCACCTGGAAATGATGGTGAACATGGCACACCAGGAACTCCAGGAAATCCCGGAGGTGATGCCGCTTATTGCCCATGTCCACCACGTACGGTCGACAGAGCTCCACAGGAGCAGAAGTATGAGGACGCAGCCCCTGAAACTGGAGGATATCCCCCTGCTCCTCCTCCTCCATCAGAAGGTTACAGCAGAGCTCGCGCAGTCAAGCGCGTCCGCAAATTCCGCGTCGCCAAGGCTATCTAAGCTGAATCCACTTAATTCACAAACTGTTTTTGCTGTAAAAAAATTCGACAATAAATATTCGAGTTTATATTGTAGTCACATCCCTGATGGGTTTTAAAAAAAATGTAGAAGTGTGAAATAGCACACCTGTATGTAAGACTGCTACCATCACTCCATTCTGGAATTCCTTCATCACTGACTTTCAAGTCAATCCAAAAAGCATCCCCATCCTTGCTTTGCCTAACAACCTGCCTAGACAACTCGGCATCCATAGATGAATCGATGCTCGAAGCCAAATATCCGCCCTTAAGTCAATTTTTTCTGTATTCCAAAAATATTCTGGGCGATCATCCTTAGCATACCTCTTTATGACAACTTTGTTGTGCTTCAGGCTGTGACAATAGCTTTTTCTTTGTGTCAATCACGAAGCATCTTCCAGACATGTAAAAGGCACCAGAAGCACATTTGGGGTTGTCTAAAAATATTCAGAATTGACTGTGTCAGCTAGGAAACCTCTGAAAAATGTAAAAATGATATACAAAGTGTCATACAGGTCATCTCAATTGCAGTGTCGCGTGCAGCAGCGGCTCGAGTCGCTGCCGCCTTGCTTAGGGTTGCACCCCGTTCACTAACGTGTTCTCTGACTATTTCTCCACATTTGATTAACAAGTAAAGATCGACTCGGAGCCACTCTCAGACATGGGAAATTGACTAGAGGACACGTACGTGAAAATAGGATCCAGGAGAAGCGGCCGCGCGCGACTCAAATTGCTGGTGCACGCGACATTGCAGCTGAGATAGCCTGTAATGTGCATTACCTTCTAAGCATCTAAAACGATATTGCAGAAATATTTCTTCTTGAACAGGACACGAAGTTTCGGGAAACAAACCATTCAAATCTTGAATACTGCAGAAGCTGAGACCTTGGCATCTGAACTTGTTCGAATTATAGCGAACGGAGTTGTTAGGTCAATAATAATAGTCTTTATGGATAATTCAAGAAATTTTGCTTGAAACTTACTTGTTAGTGATCGTCTTCAAGGAGTTCGGATTGCTACATGTCTGTACTGCAGTGACCATGTTCTGATGACATATATAACCTTCCTAAAAAGTAAATCTCAAGTGCCATAATGGGATAACATATTGATTTTTTGAGGTTTGGAATTGCGAAGGAAGCTTTTCATGTTGATAAATAGTTTGCAGCCGGTTTTTTTTCAAACTGATCAAAGCTGAGATTGCTGTTCTCGTTCTGAAAATGATATTTCTATTCTCGAAAAAAAAAATTTCGTTAAAAACTTTCATTATTGAAACAAGTACAGTGTTGTCTACATAGAGCCTGTTAATCTTGGAACTAAAATCAAAAATCCTTCCGCTTATCAAGTTTTTCTTTGGCGGACTTAGTTTTCTACCAAAAGGTGAAAATGAGAAATATGCAGAATCCCCAGGTAAACGTCCACCTACCACAGCTCCATAAGAAGCATACTCCACATGGATCGTTCCACCATCACGGCAAGCAAATTCGAATGGAGCAGACGTGCATGAAAGATTCTGTGCAGGAATCTCTAGACCATTAGTGAAAGAAACACATAATCACGAAGTCTATCCAGTTATCGCTCACCACCAGTGCGCTCTTCGCATCTGATACCACCAAATCCTTCCGGACACATGCACTGAGCCATTCTCTTTTTAGAAGCATCTAAACAAGTTCAGTATTTTTTGGATGGCTCGCGCGATAACAGAAGAAAATAAATATCTGGCTGATCATCTTTGGTTGTGCAAAGTGAGTTTTAATTCTTGTAATCACAAGATTTCTACTAATTTATAATGTTTTTCAACTAAAAACTAGGGAGAGGATGCTCACACTTTAGTTTTATATTCAAACCAAAGGCTAAAATTTGATTTGAAAATTCAGTAACTCAAAACAAAAAAAAATAAACGTTAGAGTTAGAATTTTTCAAGAACAAAAGTGAGTCAAGAATTATTCTAGTATACTTCAAATTGGTGTGTGGTTAAGCGGTTTTCATGGAAAAGTCCTGACCCTATAGAGAGGTACTGAATTCGGCTGTCGTGCCGCATCAATAGTTCAATATTATAGTCAACATCCAAAGTATCTAGATCTTTGAGTTAACAATATCTTGAATATTCGACGAATATAATACCTTAGTGTTCTTGCGTTGTTTTGCTGACAACATTTGCGCGTAATCAATCAAAATGTGCGCTTTATTATTACGCCCGAATTACAAGCAAACTGACAGCATCTGAATGCTCGGCGCTGGTTTTCGGGCAGACCTGCGTTCCTCAAATCTACTAAACTGTAACTGACCTTGATCTACAGCTTTCCTTTTGCAGACAACATGATTTTTTACATCACAGGATTGCGCCATCCAGTTACGGTAAATGCTATCCTGATGTAGCGATACGCAGATGTCTGAAAGCGTGAAGAAAATATTGTCATCAAATTCATAATAAGACACGATAAACTATTGTTTACCATCATAGTTCGGATAAACACTCGGTTCTCCTGGCTGCCAATAGTATCGTTTAACCACATAAGATCCTGGAAATATCACCCATGCCGGCTCAGTTCCATTCGGGACACAACGAACCGATGTCCATACCCCTGTCACCCTTGGAACTGAAAAAATTCACAAATTTTACAGTAATGAAACAGCGATGCTGTCTCTTACTGTAGGCCTGAGTGGCAGCCAACATTCCTTGAACGTAGCCAGCATAGAACGTTTGATCATCGTCGGTCTCAGTCAAAGCCAGTACTCTGCTGTTGTCATGGCAGTATCTGGCAGCCTTGAAAATCTAGAATTAGCTGTAAACGTAGACCCTGGCAAAGTTCTTACATCACTCCAATTCATTGGATTCTCGTTGAAAGAGTAACAGTACTCCATATGGTAAATTTCGTCATCTTCACATTTTTTGCCAACTGGTAGCTCTAAAATAGTAGTTGAGTGAAGTTTTCAAAGTAGTTTAATCTGCTGAGTATCATTAACAGATAGTGGCGGTTGATAGAGGTAAAAGTGGGGGGGGGGGGAGGAGGAGGAAGGGACCAAATGAAGGTGATCTAAGTAAATTTGTGCTTATGTTTATGTTTATATGCACTCTCAGTAGGCTATCATAACTCCAAACAACATAGCAGAAAATGCGATACATAAGAAAATATAAGAGTCCGGAAATGACTCGCTTTACTTGTAAAAAAATCAAAAATAACCTTGAAATTCTACGAAAATCAAATATTTGATGAAAGATGTAAAGAAAATTAGGAAGCATCTCAAAATAGTCTTCGGAACACGTGGTTGACGCCAAAAATTTTTTACCGAATGCATGCTGCTTTTCCGAAAAATAATTTTTCTGAATTAGCAACTGTACCAGGGCATGAAGGACCATCTTAGCGTGTACCCATTGTTTGAATGGGATTAGCGGCTGAAAGGCGGGGCTTCTAGGTTCAACTAAGGCTAGAGAATGACCAGAGCACGCATTCGAGAGAGACGCAGATTGCGTCGCGGGTGCGAGCAGTAGCCTTCCAGCCGCCGATCCCTTTGAATGAATGGGTATATTGAAAGGCTTTCTCAAATTTTTTTGTTCTGTAATGTTACAAGACAACCCTAAAGAATAAAGTATCTCGTAAAGTATGTAGCAAAGAAGATTTCGCGACAAAGGGAATGTTTGGGTTTCGTACAGCTCCAAAGCATAAAACCAATTTAAAATAAATAGAAACAACGGTGACGGTATTGGAAGTTAGCATAAAGGATTAGAGCAAAAAGATACCAAAAAAAAAGGATTCAGGTTGTCCTTAGAGTTGACCAATCAGATTTTCTTTTACTTTTTTTGCTGTACTCTCTTCAGTTGTAGCCATAGACAGCAAACGGGTACTCTTATATAACATAGCGATTTTAGCACTCGAACTCTCGGCAGTATAATGGAGTTATTGTCGTTAAACATATGTTTCTTCGATTGTTCTAACATCGTTCGAGTCGAAATGAGGGTACTTTTCCGTTATCCGGACCCATTTCTTCAAAAAAGATCACTGCTCCTTTTCTTGCATCTAGTTAGTCTCATCTTCACAAGAAGAAGAGTCAACCTCCTGCAGGGGTCGGCACAGGTGGCTTACGAGGCAAGCTGGATATCGTTTTGGGGTAAAAGGTAAGGAGGATATCGTTTAAGCGGAAACCCCAGTCCTCCCTCCCCCCTCCCCCATCCTCCCTCACAATCACCTTCTCCCTCTTATGTCACCTTTGATCTTCTATAGAGGACGCAGATTGTCATTCCTGCCCTATCGATCCCATTTCTGCAAAAAACAAAAACTTCCTGTTTCAACAGGTTTGTCGGTTAAGCGCGCGAATTCAAAAGGCCTGTCCCAAATAAACAAAAGCCTTGTTTACAGCTAAGAGAAAATGAAATGACACCAAAATTGGTGTGTGGGTGGGCAATAGGGAATTAGGATTATGTGCAAAAAATTATGAAAAAATTATGTGAACAGAAGGCGTAGCAAACTTTTTTCAGAATTAGATGGCTTTCCAGCCACCTGGACAGCCATCTGAGGTGGCTGTAAAAAGAAAAGGTCATATATTTTTCTTCCTTCACATAATTTTTTCACAAGTTCAACACAACTTTGTTCTACATCAAGAACCCTACAACTGAGTTCTTGAATCTCCTCAAACCCCATCCTCCTCGCCTAGTTTCAGCCCTCCACATATTTTGTATGACGGCGGCAAGCCTGCTCCAAGCGCACAATGGTGGGCGCCGGGCACAGCATGCCGCCAATTCGGAGAATACGAAGTTCTTTAGCTCTTTTTCTTCTGTTCATGCTGTTTTTAAGTTTTATTTGTTATTCTTTGTTATTCCTGTTTCATCCATTCATGGTCGCGTCATAGGTGATGTCGTGTTTTTGTAGCGAAGTTTGCAGGGGCTTCTTTTTTGAAAAATTGAAAAAGCCACCTCATGCCGAACCCTGACCTCCTGCCACGTGTCAGTGAAAATTGAGAGGTCATCTACATGTTTGACAGGTTTTAACAAGAATTTTCTGTCACTTATCTAACAAGGCAAATTCTTTTTTGAATCGATATTCAATCCATTTTTGTTTCAGACGATTTAAAGTGATAATTAGTATTATGATAATGTTTTTCGTTCCTAGATAAACGTGTGCTCAAAAGAGGAAAAAACGTAAGCATTCCATGGTTTGAGTGGCGAAATAAGCGTCGGCAAGATGCTTCACACCATCGTGTTTATTTTTTCCTGTCTAATTTCGCATAACGAGACAGTTTGAGGAGGATGATATATTTGAATTACTGCTGAAGGCGATCAAGATTCTCTATAGAATATTTTGTCCTGTTTTGTTCGTATATAAAAAAGCTGAACATCTTTCAGGTACTCTTAACCCATTGACGACGATGTGTACCACCGGTGGCCCACACACTTTTTGCCGCCAGGGACGATGTGGTCCACCGGTGGCCCACACCCCTTGCAAAAACATGTCCTTTCCAGGTCTAGTATCTTCTCCACAATTCAATTTTCTCCAGTTTTTTGCACTGTCGGAACCCGTAGACTCCGTCGGCCAAGAAGATGACTGTGGTTGATTATAAAACAACTTTACATATCATTAAAAATCACTAATCATTTCCGCGCCGAAAGTGTTGTGCAAAATCGCATCGTCCCACAGCGCCGCCACGCAAAATTAGGCGTCGTCGTCAATGGGTTAAATACTCCCACACCTCACCGGAAACGATCTCAGAAAAACATGTCAAACTGCATCAAAACCTATTAATTTTTTTCTTAACACGTGGCAGGCACACAGCCTTCACTTTGAAAATTGTTCTAGACCAAGTCCTTTTTCCATAAATCACCAAACAAATGGTTCCGGATAACGGAAAAGTACCGAAAAGAACACTGGACTACTAAAGTGACCCGCAGCACGCGTCCGATCTTTCTGCGAAAAGTTCTTCTGACAGAGAATAAGTGAAAACGAGAAAGAAGCAACGAAGACAAACAGTACGGCGAGAAAATCGCTTTAGTTCATTTGTTTTTCTGCTCACAGCTTTCATCGTCTTGAAAGGAAAAAGGATCAAAGAAGTAAAAATTGTCAAAGACGTTTATTCTTTGGACAATCCAAAGCCGGAAATGCTTTCCTAAGAAGAAATTTTGTTGCTCCGCCAGCTTTCTAGCAAATTATACCACTCCAATTTGGACACATCTTCGGATCTTGTCAGATCCTCGAATTCTAATAGACCTTTTGAATATTAGAAAAGTCGAGGGTCAAACAACTGAAAAAATTAACAAACATCACTGTCATATACAGGGTGTCCCAAAAAATGTGCACCCTGTTTGATCGATTTTTTAAGAACGCCCTTGTTCTGATGTCGTTATCCGACCTTTAGTACCATTCTATAAAGCGAGGTTCAACTCAGAACTACAGTATGGAGCAAAACATCGATCGCCCTTCATTACTGTAGGGTTACGGTGCGAACTACGTCAGAGATTTTAGGCCACTGAGGCCACACTCTGCCTCGGAATAAAACCAACCAAGCTAAAAACTCCTATACTATGGTAATGGAAGCCGAATATCTCGAATATGAAACTTCAATATACTGTGATACTTCTTTCCTAAGTTATTGCAGGTAGACCATAGTAACTGAATTCCTAATATTTGTCAGAAATGAGATTACACCGTCAAAAAAGCTGAAAGACTCGTAAGAAATTGAGTAGTGGAATCAGCTTGCGCGAAAACCCTAATACACGATTTTAAAGATTTTTTGGAAAGAATTTTGTCAGATGGCATATTTCACAATAGTTCCATATGCTGGAAGTTCTTAGCGTAATTCGACAGTAACAAAGAGTGATCGATGATGTGCCCCGCATAATGTAACTCTAAGTTGAACCTCGCTGTAAACAATAGTGCCTAAAAGTCGGCGAAAGACATCAAAGCAAGGAAACTACTAAGGATCGAACAGTGTGCACATTTTTTTGGGACACCCTGTATAGAACTTGGTAGTTTGCCGACAATGCGGAAATTTGCATAACAGAAAGGAGACTGAAGACATGAACTATCTCCTTCGTCAAGTATCTGCTCTGCTACCCTAAATAACAGTCAAATTTCTAAACCGTTTCGCTACAAGGCGAAAGGAAACTTAGAACCTCTGCAGTTTCCTAGCACATTTAATTTACAGCCATAATTGTCGTCGTGTTCTCCCTGCATAAGATTTCTATGCAACTTTTTAGGCTTTGACCCGAATTTTCGACATCATGGCGTGAAAGTTCAGATCTGACTCATCTATGTCATCTTTGGTTCTGCAGTATTTCTAAACATCTAGCTGTTCTTATGAGAATTGCTTGAGTCATAACACATGGTGGAACTCAATGTTGACATTCAATAATGGACTCAAGTAATGCTCATACATCCTAGAAGAAAAATTTGCAGGTTATGACTAACCATACTCATGATGTTTGGCTAACAAAATTGTCACTTGTAAAGCAGTTGTGTGCTTGCGAACGTCAGGCGCAACACTCGAAAAGCACTCGAAATCTTCCGGACATTATTTGTGGAAGAAGGTAACGCCACTTCTGCGTTACAAATCTAACGAAAAAAATCTTTCCGAGTTGTAATCAATTGGCTCTCTATAATTGAAGCCAATAGATTTAAAGCAGTGATCGCAAACTTCAAAAAGATATTAGGTTGTAACATAAGTTTTGTTACACTTGAAGGAGAAAACTTTTATAACTTTCTCAAAAGATTTTTTCTCATCTCCAAATTGAGTGGAGGGCTATAACTTCACAATATATGCATGCCACACATAGGGAATCTAGTTTTTGAATTTTTTGAAATTTTTCTGAATTATTTTTGCCAAATTTCCAACTTGCGTTATTGAACAGCCTATCGAAACTTCCCTGATATTAGTGCTAATGTCCCTAGAAATCCAACAAAAGTCTGAGAGCATATGAAATAAGAATGAATTTTTGAAGGCACAAAAAATGGAGATTTGAGCGCCGTCACAAAATTGCCTTTATATTTACTGTATCCCATACCTGTAAAGGTGGAAATAATGCCGATAGATAATCCTTTGTCTACTGCTCGTATGTGTCACTATTGGACTTTGTCAAAGTTTCTGGAGTTTTTCAGAAGAAAATGAAAAAAGTTTGATTCGAAACTCATATTACGACCTAATAGAATTAGAAAAATCTGCGCACGAAAAAAAATGAAAAGTAATGCAAACCTAATCAAATAATTTTCCAACGCGATCATTTCGGTAGATCACAGGCTTCGGATAGATCGATATAGTGCGAAATAGAGAAGTTACAGTAACCCAAAAAGTGTCTCGATACTAATTATCCTCAGCTGTACTGATAGACCCCACGTAAATCAAAGACTTCTTTTGATTATTGATAGTGCCATCAAAGTTCTGTTTTTGTTTCGGTTTATTCGGAAGATAGATAGTAATGGAGAAATTTTCAAAAAGAATCTTACAGAATTGTCCCGAAAAATGAATTTTGTCAGAAATAGCGTACATCAGGAAGATTATTAGAGCAAAAAAAAAATGATCTTGGAGATGTAGGCAGAGAGGTGGGAAAGAAGAAAAAGAGAAGAGAGACTCTTTGAACTTGTTGAAGCGCAGCAGTGATTGAAGTTAGTTACTCTATAAAAATAAACTTCTCAACGCTTGAAGAAGATAAACATCAAAAACGAAAAACGAAAAAAGGAAGAAATGCAGAAAATGAAGCATGACAGGGCGGAAAGATGCAATCCAACTGCAAAAGTACTTAGAATTAATGTAAAATGTAAAATAAACAATTTTTAGAATCAATTCTTATGGAAAAATGAGGAGTAGAAAAGCCTACCGCTACTCAGAAGACATGTTCCTCCATTCTCACAGAGCATTTGGTTGCGACATTCTTCGATATCCGATATTGCCCCTAAACTTACCAATCATTGGTTTAGCTATACGGTTTTGAATTTTTGGCCATTTTTTTCCGAATTCAAAAAAAATGTGCCAAACAGTTTTTGACTGGGGAATTTCTGCTTTTTTTTAATTTCAAAAAAATAGTACCAAAAATATGCTCTAATGCTACCCACTGCTTGAACTTACCAGAAACAAATATCAAAACCAGAAATGAGATCAGTATAGGCATCGACCAGATTGTCAAGGACGAGATCTCTCCCTGAGCTCAGGCGCGCCGATGGGCGTAGTCCGGATATAAGGACACGAGAGACGATGCCGATACGATCACTCGCTGAGTGCTTGACTTCAACAAGAAAACTCGTCCTTGCACTAGTAATCACTTAGTCAAATATTGAGCTCAGCGGGATGTTTAGGACTGAGTGTGGAGTGCGAAATGCTAAGAAAAACAGCTCCGAAAAGGGGTTTTCGGAGAGAACTTCAAAAAATCTCAGAAATTGTCAAGCAAGGCAAGAATGGCTTTGGGGAGGGTGTGAAAGGCTGTATTCTAATCAGCTACTGCAAAGTACTCTCTTCATTTTTTGAAGACTAACTTTACTTCCCCCCCCCCCCCCCGAGAAATTGGGAGCGTAAAACACGCCTATTTTTTCGACGTATCTTCCCTTGCTCACAATGAATACAAAGCGTTTTCAAGAAATCAGATATACTCATCCCCTCCCCCTGTGAGTACTAAGACAATTGACCGGAACCTCCGCAAAACGTTCGGGAAAGTTCCGCCGGGTTAGCTGCGGAAGTTTCGTAAACTTGCTGCGGAAGGAAAAAATGCGAACCACGACAGCAAAAAGAACACTCAATCGAGACTTGAACCTTACTCTACTGACTGTGGGACTCGTTTTACGGAAGTCCCCTAGCGGTTTCTAGAAAGTTCTGTGAAAGTTCCCGTTTTCAACCAGTCTGACGTGAAAATCCTGCGAAAGTTCGCATTTTCAACGTTTCTACATTTGCCATGGAACCGCTGCAAATTTTGCGTATTCTGGGAAGTTCCGGTATTGCCTGAGATGAATACAAAATGTTTTTTTTTTCAAGGAATGGTTGTTTGATGGACTACTCAAGCCCCTTTTCTTCAGATATGCTCACCCCCTCCCCCCTGTGAGTGAGTTGTGAAATTATGAAAAAAATGATTTGCATCAGTTACAAGAAAAACAAACAACTTGTTTTCACCATAAATAATCTGCTTATCTCTTGTATTTGGAAAAAAATCAACTGGCATGTCGAAAGGCATTTGAAGGGGGGGGGGGGGTGGTGTCATGGTATAGTGATGTGATACAATAATGTGGAGTAAGCTTGCAAAGCCTTAAAAATAATCACAAAAAAATTTCTTGGGGCGCCGCATCTCGCTCTACGTCGCAAAATTGGTGCACTACGGCTAAGGCCCGTATGCACGTACATCCCCGCGGGGAGGGGAGGGGATCTGAGAGGGGAAGCGCCATATCTCACTGCTCTAGGTATCTTTCTTCATTCTTCTCTATCGTGCTTATGAGGGTTCTCATACCCTTATATCTGTGCATAATAGATGCCAGGTTACTGCTATACAAGTTTAAATACTCACTATTTCTTCCGATCCCCTGGGGATCCCCAGGGGATCATCTCACATTTTCAAAGTCGTTTATCTTCCTGAAAAAATAAATGAAAACGCTGCAAAATTGTACTGAAGATATACTACGATACTGCTGAGCATGTATTCGACAGAAGAAATTGAATCTGAAGATTTTGATTTTTTCGATAATCCCTGGCTCGCAAGCAGCGGTTCATCGAAGATTTTGATATCTTGAGATTTCACTCATTTCTACCATGAATATGTTTAGCAGTGCTGTAGCATATCCACAGTACAATTTTAGAACATTTTCATCAAGTTTTCAGAAAGATTAATAACTTTGAAAATGTGAGGTGATCCCCTGGGGATCCCCAGGGGATCATACGAAATAGTGAATATCTACACTTGTATGGCAGTAACCCGGCATCCGTTGTGCGCAAGTATCAGTGTATGAGAACCTTCAAAACCAAGACAGAGAAAGAAGAAGAAAGATACATAGACTAGCGAGATATGACGCTTCCCCTCTCAGATCCCCTCCCCTCCCCGCGGGGATGTACGTGCATACGGGCCTAAATGTGTTCTACATAGACATCCATGCATATGTGTCAGATCTAGACAGAATTGTACCCATACGCGAACTGGTCTTAGGAAGTCCACATCTTGTATTGAGTTTCTCTTAATTTAGAAGAAAAGCTACGATCATTAGGGACATCTGCGGAGAATGCAAAAAAGGGAAGAACTAGTTGCAAGTTGCAAGAGAAAATCCGTAACGCTCATGACAAGGAGGTAGTAGTTTTCTGAAGCTTCCATTCCTCTTTATACTTTTGTAAATCTCGGAAATTTCGAAGTTCTATTTTTGGAAAGATAGAGAATATGGGCACTGCAACTACTTGCGAAAGATTACGAAAATTGAGCCGCTCTGTTTTGTAGGTTATCGCTAAAGTTGAATGATCAATAGAACAACGTCCTCTGTGAAGATATCTGTCAGATGTCCCAGTTTTCAGATGAATTACTCTGCAAATTCTTTTTGAATCCAAGAAAAAATGTTAAGGTGATATCATCCTGTTTGGAATTGCCGAAATCTTAGAAAGCATACAGCGATTTTAGTATGTTGCTTGGAAAACACCTCTAATGAACTGCTGAGAAAAGGAATAAAATTGTAAACTTCTTGAATTGCTCATTACTTATTGTTTCGCAAGTGTGCATTGAAAAGAAAGTAGATAGTAAGAATGGAAAAAATATGTGCGCTGTTTCCTCTCATTTTTCACGAAAGACAGCCCAAATTTGGGTTTTACACCGCCTTTCATTTCTGAAGGGGACGAATCCAAAACTCTTTGAAGTCAATGTTAATTGTGAAATCGCAAAGTTTGGGAACTACATTCTCCAGGTAGTCCCAATTCTGTGACTAACAAGGGAAGGTTCGCTAGTTGAAGTGGCCTTTCCAGTTGAGATGCATATCTTGCCAAAGGGCAGCGAACGCTTCAAATCTGTCTTCTTTATCTGCGGAGCGCTTCGATGAAGGATTGTGAGCGTATGAGTAATAACTGTACGCCTGATCAGAATGAATTATATGGTAACAGCCCTTCCAACTTGCACATGGATTTGAAATCAAGAAAGGGAATTTTCTCGCCGTATAGAGGTTTAACACGGGTGTAGGCCCTTTTGAACCCTTCGCGCGCGATGCTCGTTTCGTCGCGTGCGGCGCCGCTGACGGAGCTAACAAGTCGCATTTACAGTCAACGGGGAAAATTCTTAGTTGAAGCATGTAATATGCCTGTGCCAAAACCTATAATCATGTTAGACACGAAAGATGTACCAAAATGAACGAGTACAAACTCGTTATGGCAGCGGACATGTTGACCAATCAGAGGCGCGCCATGATAGCGAACGGTTCAAAAGGGCCGTTTCCCGTTTAACACTCACTACTTTTCCATCTCAACCCACTAAAGACTTCCTCAAAGGGCGCCTCGAGGACCACGCCCACTTATTCGCATGGCCAATCCCTTGAGCGAAATCTTCTCAGCCCTTGACGTGTTTTTACATGGGAAACACAGTCGAACACATAGTGTTTACCTGTTAATGGTTGCTTTCGACAAAGGTAGCATCAGAAGCACTCGTGCGGATTCCTACCATCGGCTCCCAGATTCGTGTGGAGGTGGAGTCTTGCCAACTCACCGCGTGGCGGTTTTTGCTGGCGAGAGATTACGAAAAGCAATGCTATGACGTGGAGGTTTAGCAAGTTTACATGTGTAATCAGGCAAAGTCTGCAATACACCTCCACATGAATCTGGGAGCCGATCATACAAAATAGCCCAGAAAGGTCTTCTTTTTAGAATTTCACGCTTTTTGAGTGCCATATTTGGCAGCAAGATGAAAAGGTCTGGATAACATAAAAATATATAGAAGTCGAGAATCTGCCTGGACGCTGCCTTTAGATGGATTTTCTGGCTACGCGTTGAATTTTCGCTGCAAAAGCTCTCATAACTCTTTGTCCAGAGAAGCTAGATATTGAAGACAAATTTGGATTAAGCGTTCGATTTCAAAATGATGTGAGTCCCTTCCGGCCACTTCACTTATTCTTCCCTTACAAGAGACTCGTAACAGCCTTCTCACAAGCCCAATAAGTTGAGTAACAAGTCCACACTTGTGATCTTTCTAGTCCAAGGTTATTGGCTACCAAAAAACAGGTTCAAGCTTGTTTCGACAGTCCGTGCAAAGCGGTTTCGAGTCACTTATAAAGGATACTTGGTCGAAGTGGCATTTCATTATGAATTTATACTATCTTATAGAGCTTTGGACGCTGATTCTGAATCTGCTTCCCATATCTGCAAAGCTCTTCTGGGAGAGAAGTTATGGGAATTTCTTGGAGCAAAAATTCGAACGCGCGGCTACCATGAAGTCATTCAAAGTGCAGTCTGTGAGCTCAAATGGGGCTATGATCCCTACCAGGGCGTTTTATGCAATACTACCTTCAATCTGATAAACTCTTGTCAGTCATTACTCCTTCCAAGCACAGGATAGATCTCAACAACTGTTTTCTAAGCCAAACTTGAATTTTACCAATACAAATTCCCAAAACTTCCCTCACAGAAGCGCTTTGCAGATATGGAAAGCAAATTTGGAATTAGCGTTCTATGCTCTATAAGACAGTATATATCTCATACTAGCTGGCAAACCCGGCTCCGCCCGGCACTGTCATTATTATATTCGTAATCAGCATGCTCGATTACCCCCCCCCCCCCTGTGCCAACTCCCAGCCCCGTAGCTCAAATTTTGCAAAAAATCGGTATAATCGATATCGATCGATGACGAAAAGCAGCCTATGACACACGCCCGGTCCCGAAGTGTATGTGTGCCAAGTTTGGTCCGGATCGGTTCAGAAATAAAAATTTCTATTCGGAACATACGTACATACAGACAGACAGACATACATACAGACATACAAGCAGACATTCAGCTTTATATATAAGGGAAAACCTACTTCAATCAAGTATCCTTCCCTTCTTAGTAACTGAAAAACGATAACAATAATCGCAAAAGAAAGCCATTTTTGCAGACAATCCTTGCTACTCTCTACTTCTCACACAAACAAATCTATTCTTCTCAACATGTATCGGGAGGGGGGAACGTCCGGAAGG